CTCTCAGCCTCAGCTTTCTTATTTGTGAAAGGAGGAAATAATGAAACTGATTCATAGGGGTGTTATGAGGATAAAATAAACTGATCTATATAGAAGTTTGGAACTATATCTGAACATGGTCAGCTCTCTATAATACTACTCTATTGTCATTTATCAACATTATTGTACTTCGTTGTAACCTGGAGCTTCCAATAGTTAGCTTCTATAATCCATGCATGCCTTTTAGGCATCATGGGTAGTAAGTTTAGTACTTGAAATGGTAGGTATCTTGAGAAAAATAATTTTTCCATGTGGTTTTGATAAGACACTAGACATTACTGGGCTTGATTTGATGTTCAAAATCTCTGATAAAAAGGTAGCCACCATATGTTATACTTTCATAAATGAACATCAGGGAGCTGTGTGGTTGTTTCTTTCATAACACAATTTTCAGGACCGAATTCAGGTAAACCACGGGCTGTACGTACGTGTTGTCTCCTATTCCTGCCTTCGTGTATACAACAAGCGCTAAGCAGTGCTGGCCGTGAGAAAGGCCTCCCCTGGGCCCTCGGCATGTGGAGTCAAAACAGCACAGCTCCTTTCCTCAAGCTCTGTCCACAAAGGGGGTCTCTTTTGTAACCACAGAACGACTTTCATTCTCAGAGATGCCTTCCCAAAGTTCTAATTAACAAGAATAATGAGCTCTTACTTAATATCTTCTTGGCACCTGCCCTAAGTGCCACAAAGTCATTTTACTTTCAACTTTGAATATACGCTTTCTGCTTCCCTTTAACTTACTATTAATTATAATTACAAGACTTGAAGACAAAGGCCCTGTCACCTCATCCCCAAGTTAATAAGCCTGCGAGGAGGGTGAAAATAGTACAGGAAAACATCTGAAGAATTAGAAAAAGAAAAATGGGGGTGAATGCTCGTCCTGTTGCTTAACCAAGTCATGTCCTGATGAAATATCTATAAAATGTTTTGTTAAACAATATAGCAGGCATGTTACATAAAATATTATGTTCTAACAGAGCTTTTTCTCTCTTTTATAATAGGGCACATTCCCTATAATAGACCATCTGATATATACTTCAAAAGCTCTCCTCTCTAATTGAAATTGTTCTTTCCAGTAGTGGCACTACACAAGGATATTTTGGAGAGAATACGTGTAGGTGTGTGGAGAACACTATTAATTATCAGTAAAGTCGGT